AGAGGTTCCGCTTAGACATAGCAGAAAACACATAGGGTGGAATTTCGTTTATTCCTGCATCAGGTATTTGTTGATCACATTCCGAGTGCTGCACACCATAGTGTGTGCTGGGCTTTCATTGGGGAGCAGGACCAAGAGGATCCCTGTCGCTGTCCAGCATACGGACAGACCACGTCAGGTCACAAACATGATCATTCCAGAGATTGGTATGTGTGAAGAAGAAAGGAAAATAGCACCATAGAGAGACCTAGTGGGGGACTGTGACTGAGGAAGACAGTGAGCAGGTGGCATGGCAGGACTCTTAGAGGAGACAGCCTTTGAGGAGGAGCCAGCCTGGCAGAGAGTTGGGGACAAAGAGCTCCAGGCAGAGGGAAGCAAGAGGGAGATGGGTGCATTCCAGCAACAGAGGAGGGCAGGGGCTGGCACAAAGGAGCCAGGGCCCAGGCAGAATTGATGCAGAGGAGTGAAGCGATCTTGGTTGTGGATAACTGATTCGAGTAGATCCAAGAAAATGAGTTAGGAGGCTATTCCAGCCACCCACCTGGCTGAGGGGTCATTGAGGGGGAGGGCCTGCAAGAGTGGGCTGGAGCGGGTTGGATTCACTGTGCATCTGGAGCGGGAAGAAGGGAGGTTGAGTTGGTGAGCAGCTGAGATGAGATCATGGTCTTAAATTCATACGTGTGAACATTTCTGATAGGCAGTGGGGATCTGTGGCCACAGATCTTATCTCTTTCATCATGTGGAGATTAGTCTGGCTGCAGGCAGGAGAAAAATGTTCCCATAGTTCATGTTCTCAGTAAGGAGGGTGTAAACTAGGGAGTGGAGGAGAACATGGAGGAGAAGTAGGCAATAGAGGTTTTCAGGGGACAAAAAACCCAAGCTCACCAACTAACTGGGTACATCCCAAAATAGAAGAGCCAGAAATGGCTTGGAGGTTTCAGGCTAGGATACCTGTCTGTCAGTTCCAAGACAGTGGCAGGGGGTGTCCAACTAGAATTAAGAAGTCAGGCAGCTTTGGAGGAGAAGTTGTTATATTGAAAGTCTGGAGAGGTTGCTCAGCAGAGGCTTAGTAGTGAGAGCTAGGGTAGAGTGAGGGGAGAATTGGGTTTAAGAGCTCTCTCCATGAGAGTGATGGCTGAAATAAGGAGAAGGTGAAATTACCAAGAAAGCAAAAAAGCAGAAGGAGCAGGGAGCCCCCACTCTCTTTCAGGGAGTCAAAGAAGCAAGAGGAAGGAGGAGTCATCCAGGGGCTGGGAGGAGAATCAGACAGGAGCCATCCTTGGCCTCTGGGGCATCTTCAGGCACACACTCTGGGGTGTCTGCTTGTTATCCACACTGGTGCCTCCCTCCATCTTACATGTCTTTATTCCCAGGTTAGGCACATAACAGGCACCATGGATTAATAAATACATGTACAACAAAGACAGGGTGAGTGTTACACATGGCGGATGCTGAGAGCAAGAGGTAAAAGATGAGGCTGGAGACACGTCTACTAGGTGTGATGACCAGGAGGCTGTTGTCACTGGTTATCTTCAACAGGGGCAAAGTTCTGGGGTGGAATCCAGGACTCAGAGAGCCAAAGATAGGCATTTCCCACTGTCCACGGCCCATCCTGTGCCCTCCTCAGCACCCGGATCTGAGCACTAAAGCTTTTCCATGTTTTTTTTGCATGTTTCACAGGAGCTGTGTTGACCAGTAAAGAACTTGTGCTTTTCCCACCATTCCATCCCATACCATCCCATCCCATGCCTTTAATTATGCAGTGGGGCATTGGTCCCTTGGTCCTTTGGTGTCACACACACCCTGATTTAGCCGGCGGTACAGGGCGCGACCAGCAAATGCTGGCCAGGAACTTGAAGGCCTGCTTTGAAAGCTGAGAAATGAGTGATGAAGATTCCTAGGAAAGTAACTAAGGATCACCAGGATAACATGGGAAGACTTGAGAGGGTTTATTGCCTGGAGTTTCCTCGGGCTGGGTCTTGTTGTTCTCTTGGAACACCAAGCCTCATAAATACAATCATCAAAGCTCCCCTAATGTTCAGAATTAATGACTTCGGTTGTGTCCTATGGCAGCTTCCCTTTGAAAACCATCCCAGTTTCTGCCAAAGTTATAAGTCGCTTGCGCTGACTGAAACAATGGAAGAAAATGCCCTCATTGGCAGATTTTGTGGCTGTCGCCCATCAGCTCTTAGACTCACTGCTCTTCAGCCACGGACATCCCTGCATTCCCTGCCTCCAGATGCAGACAGCCTCTGAAATAACACCAGGTAGAGTGGGCAGAACCCATGGACCTGTCCCAGCCCCTGGATGGTCTCCAGAATTAACTGAAAAGGGTAACCCTGTATGCATTCCTGTTTGCACCTGACCTGAAAAACGCCCTTCTTTGGGGCTAGGGGAAACTGGACCAAATGGGGCATCTAGAAGCTGTTGAATCAGGAAACCTTAACTCAGGTGCAGGACAAGGAACCAGGCCTGAAGCCAGAGACTCACTCCTACCAAGCAAGGGTGTGGTTTGAAAATTATAGGAAGCCAGTGTAGGGAAGGTCTACAGCAGAGAGCACCTGAGATGAGAAAGCCCAGGTGGGAGCCAGAACAGGTGCCAGGAAAGAGGCCAGCAGGAGAGACCAGCTCTGTGGGCATTAGCCCTGTGGCCCTACCAGAAGCAAGTATGGAGACCATGCACTGGAGCTCTGAAGTGAAACAAAGCAACAGACACATGGTTGCACAGATCTGGTCTGGGCATTTGTTAAACAATGCTGAGGGACATTTTCTGATCTTGGCTACTCTTAGCCCTATATATTCTTAGCCCCTATAATTTTTTTTTTTTTTTTGAGACGAACTCTTGCTCTGTTGCCCAGGCTGGAGTGCAGTGGTACGATCTCAGCTCACTGCAACCTCCGCCTCCCAGGTTCAAACTACTCTCCTGCCAGCCTCCCGAGTAGCTGGGACTACAGGTGTGTGCCACCATGCCTAGCTAATTTTTGTATTTTTAGTAGAGATGGGGTTTCACCGTGTTGGCCAGGCTGGTCTTGAACTCCTGACCTTGTGATCCACCCACCTCAGCCTCCCAAAGTGCTGGAATTACAGGCGTGAGCCACCGTGCCCAGCCAGCCCCTGTAATCTTTATACTGAGCAACTTGATAGCAGCTGGCTAGCAGTCCACATCAAGAATCCAGGCAGCCCTGCACCATGCTCTAGGCTGACGGTGCCTCATCACAGCTGGCTTCCCTCCAGGTTGCTACTGGATGGTCCGCCCTGGCAAAGCATTGCAGTTGGTTGCCAGTTACCATCTGTGTCTTGATGTGTTACCTACATCTCCCCAGCCACCATTAAGCCCACTCTTCTCCATTTGCTTCTTGCTGTCCTCTGGCCACTAAAGCCTTCGATTTTACCCTTTTCCTCTTTTTATACTAACTTTGAACAAGTTTGATCTTTTATTCAAGTTCTGCCCTTTTTCAGATTTCATCATGGTAATTTTTAGACTCAACTTGCTCAGCTTTTAGAACATCTTAAAGTCTTCCCTGGAATCCGTCCAGTTATGCTATCATTTTTGGACAGAACAATAGTGATTTCCCATTAAATCTTTTTCAAAAAAAATAAAAGGCTCCAAGGATGAGACTTGAGGGTTACTAAATATGAAGAGTATTCGCCTATTCCTTTGAGTAGCATGCCATGGTGCAGCGGTTCTCATCGCATGGCTGCCAGCAAGCAGCCTTAGCATCTCCTGGGAGCTGATAAGAAATGCACATTCTCAGGTGCACCCAGACCTGCTGGGTCAGAAACTCTAGGGCCAGGACATAGCAGTTTGTGTTTTAACAGCCCTCCCCGTGAGGCTGATGCACACTTAAGTAGGAGAACGGCTGCCATAATGAACAGAGGATGCTGATGTCTTTGGGGAGTTGTGGGCCAGGCACTTGCCTCCAGGGATCCGCGTGCAGTCAGCCTGGCACCCCAGGCTCTGTGCTTGCTCCAAGCCCTGCCTGCAGGTAGGAGTGCCTGTGAGGGGGAAGCACGGTGCTGCTTCTTGTCCAGGCATCACGGGAAAGGACTAAATCACCTCCACCAGGATTATCTTGGATCTTGATTTCTGGCTGTAGATTCCTTTGGAGTCTGAAGTGCCAATATGTAATCTGGGGTGCAAGGCAGTGGGGGGAAAACCCAGTTCTTGTTCTGGAAGCATTAGTTTTATAGGGGGAAAATGTGGAGGGACATTTAGGCAATCTAGCTAGTAAATAAATACCCACTGTTTAGTATAAATTTAGGTTATTTGGCAGAATACAAAATTCTCACTTTTTAAAAAAAGAAAAAAGGAGTCCAAAACCTTTCTCTGCTTTTTAGAAAACAGGCTGTGCTTCTCAGGCCCACCTAGGGTAGAGGCAGCCTCTCCTCTGCTGTCAGACGTGCCTTGTTAAAAAGATTTGAGAGATAGGGCTCTTCGTAGACTAGCTCTCCCTACCTGAGAAAAGGGGGGCCCATGCCCAGCCCTGCCTGAATGAGCTGTGGGCATCCCTACCTTGTTAGAAAAGTCTGTGGTTTCCATTGTATGTTCTGAGACTACTGGCTGTTTCAGCCAAGTTACAGGGGACCTCCACAGCCCAGAGGGGAAGCCCCATCATGAGAAATTGTGGCTGCACCAGCTGGTGTGAGCGTTCGGGCTTCACTCCCTTCCCAGGGTCTCGGCCTCCAGGCAGTCAGGGCATCAGACCTCAGTGTGACCTCCATGGGCACTTGTGCCTTCATGGGTCTCCCTCCTCCAGAACAAATACCAAAAAATACACTTGACAACTATGTGGGTATAAAGACAAATATAATCCAGGTTGGATTCTGTGCATTTTTTTTTTTCTCTCCTGAATTAAAATATTTTCTTGGGCCTCTGAATGGATCAGGGCCCCAGGCCCCATGCCTGCTGCACCTCATGGAAAAGTTAGCCTTTCAGGGCAGCCTCTTTAAAATCCCTCTGAGTCTTAACCACAGAATAACGAGGCCTTCTGGTTCTTTAGAAAATCGGCTGTGATGGCATCATTGGGTCTGCAGCTAAAGAAGACAGATGCGGGGTCTGCAACGGAGACGGCAAGACCTGCCACGTGGTGAAGGGTGACTTCAGTCACGCCCGGGGGACAGGTGAGTGGTGGCCCAGAGGGCTACTGTGGCTACAGTGTTTTGTGTCCTTTGCCTAAAGCTACTGATTGCAATCTTCCCTACATTTCATATTTAAGGGCTAGACGGTAGTGGATAGGTGACCTGGAACTTCAGTTTCATTTCTGAAAAGCAAGGAAGGACATTTGAGCAAGAATGATGCCTTCAAGTTGCTAGTAGTGAGTAGTTTGCCATGAACGGAAACAGCTCCCCACTTAGCCCGAGGTCTGTGAATCAGTGGTAACTGCCCTGTGCCAGGAGCTCAGCACTTCCTGGCAGCCCTCCTTCTGATGTGCAGGCCGAGAAGGTGGTAAAGACACTTGCCAAATCATTTTACCTGTCGTTGGAAGAGGTTTGCTCTGTGTCTGAATTTTCTGTTAGTAAAAGTAAGATAGCACTTACATTTGTAAAACATGCATGAAGCCGTACAGTCTGGAAAGTCTCAGGTGCCACTGCCAACTGTGACTCCGGAGTACCCGAGCCTCCTGGTCCCCAGGCACAGACATCCCTCAGCACAGTCCCTAGAGAGGGATGCCAGGATTCGGTTGATGGGCCGCCTTCATCTTTCTGCTAGCATGCTTTTTGCAGCTGCAGGCTGTTTGGTCCTACATGGGACACAACTTTCTGATCTCCCATCCTGGAGGACAATGTTTAGGAAAGCGTCTGTGGTTGACACCTAGTGAGGGGAGCACGAGGCAGGTGAGCCACTGGGGAGGGAGCTCTGGCAGCCTTAGCGAGTGTCCACTCACCCCCCATCACCAGGAGAACTTGTGTTGGGACGAAGGAGCTGATAAACTTATTTTAATTTCTACAAGTTGCTTTGCATAGAAGCTTTTCAGTTCATTTCCACCTGACAAGAGAACAGAACCACATTTATGCCTCCCTGTCCCACAGAACAGCCCTGTAAGGTGAGGCGTGCTCTCCTCTCTGCTTTTCTCTTTGTGGATAGGAAACCGGGTCTGGAAGAAACGTTCCTTCTAGATGCCTGTGGGAAAGGCAACCTACTGCACCAACATTTTGCAGCACCCTGTGAAAGCAAAACCAGAGGAAAATGCAAATGCAAAATGAAATTTAAAAATGAAATTTCAGGTGGATTTTAAAGGCAGATAGCTAGTCAGCAAGGCTCAGAGCTTAGTGTGAGAACCTGTGCCTGCCACGTCAACAGAGAAAGGAGAGGCAGGAGCAGGTTGGTTTGGGGGAAAGTGACCTCCAGAGCTGCACTGTCCAGTTCAGCAGCCGCTGGCCCCTGGAGACGATCCAAACTGTAATTCATTAAAATGAAACCAACTTAAAAGTTCATCTTTCTGTCTCACTGGGCAAATTTTGAGTACTCTGTTGCCGCACATGGCCAGCAGCTCCTGTGTTGGGCAGCACTGGCAGAGAATATTCCCAGCATCCCAGAAGGTTCTCCTGGACAGCACGGCTCCAGAGCATTGCCCATTTCTGCTATTCGTTTTGGCATACTGGATGCCATTTTCTCTATTGGTACCCCAGCTCCTGGGCTCCTGTGAGAATTTGACCTTGCCTATTGCAGCTGATTCAACATTTAGGAGCAAAACTCCTGCAGTTGGTGAAGGGTTACTACTTATTGTTGGCTTTTCTTTTTTAATAGAAGCATTAGAACCCTTCGTTTATTAAATTGAACATTGTACTGAGCTCCCATAAAGAGAACTGACTACAAGTGTGTGATTCTGTAGAAGACAAGTCAGGTACAGCCAGGCCCACCCCCATCCCCAACCCTGGGCAACTCTGTATGTAGAACACAAAGGAAAGTTCTACCACACATCTAGCATAGGATCTCACTTCTGAGATAACCCAGATTAAGGTCAAAAGTGGTCTTCCTTTGCCCAGACTCTGATCTGTATGCCAGCCCTTGATTTGGCCCAGGCAGACCCATTCATCTGACCACAGTAACATCCTCCTCTCCTGCCCACCCCTTTCCCTTCTCCATCCACCCCAACCTGGGCCACATCCCTGTCTAGAATGTGAGGTCAGACCCCTATGGCCATGACAGTGAGTCCCTCATGGAAGGATAGACCATACCGAAGCCTCCTTGGGTAACTCCCCCAACCCTGGCTTGCAGCCTAGCACGTGTCCTTCCAGCTGCCAAGGCACAGAAGCCTTACCAAACCTTCAGACAAAAATAAGCACACGTTCACTTCACCTGCCTGGACTGTCATTCTGAGTGATTACTAGTTGTCACACATTCATTTTAAGGTACACAGCAGTTTTTGGTTTTTGTTTTTGTTTTTGTTTTTTTCAAATCCTCACAGCTGGAGTCTTTGAACGTGAGCCCATATCAATATGGATTCTATATATTGAAAATCTGCCTGCAGTACTTGTTTGCACATGAATGAGTCACCGGCTGCCTTTCTAGTATAGTTTCATTCAACACAAACCTGTCATCATGGTCTGACATACTGGAATGCACTTAGACAGAGATACAAATGGTTACCCCCAAGCCCATTCACGCAATGATTATTTATGCAGCATGACTACATTTTAACCAGCAGGTATACAGAAATAAGTTATTGTCACCACCTCAGGTACAGTTGAGGGAGGAGACCCCCGGGCAAACAGCATTAGCCCATGTGAGCATGAGGTGGAGGCAGCCCAGCAGGCATGCTGTGGGACCCCAAGTTCTGGTGGGGCACCAGACTTAGGCCTCCAAAAGATGAGGGTGGCCCCCAGCACTAAAGGACAAGTAGAAATCAGTTGATAGTGGGGGTAGCAGGAGGACACTTCAGGCTGAAGGGGAAACATATCCTTGCAAGACCCAGCATGGAAATCACAGAAAGACCCCAGGTCAAGAGGCATCTTGGTGACGCCAAGCGCAGCTGAGTGGGTGGATTCACCAGGCCTATCAGTTTAGATAGGAAGGTAACTTTCATCTCTGCTCGCCTCTAAAGAATGAGGGAAGGAGGAATGCCTTATCACCCTTCCGGGTGGATATCAAAGAGAAACTCCACACCAGAAAGATAAAACGGAATCAAATGCTGGATTTTTGCCCAATTTTACGAAGTCCTGACCCCTGCCTGAACTCCTGTGGGTCCTTTTACCAAAGTTCCTGAGCTGAGAATCCAGGGCAGACCCACGCGTGGCAAAGTGTCCAGCCCAGCAGAGCCAAATCTCCCTCTCTGTCATGAGAGGTCCCAGTGTGGCGTCAGGGGAAGTGGTGTCCTGAGTGTAGGATGTTTATTGCCTTCCAGCCTGTTGCTTCCAAACTTTGAACAAATGAGGTCCTCAGCTACTTATCTATGGAAGGAATCAACTCAACTTGGCTATCATATTGCTTTTCTGATGGATGGGCTTCAAAATGCTCATGCCTTGGGCTGGCTTATGACAGTTGAGTTATCTGAACCTAGTAATTTGAGCGTTCTTGGTATGATGCTTTCATTTTATTAAATTGCCATTTTAACAATATTATCTTTATTCCACTCTGCTCCTTGGCACTGAAAAGGTGGCTGGTCAGTCTCCAGGTGACCGGCCCATGGGCAGCCAGGACACACCTGGACTGAAGTCCTCACTGAGAACCAGCCAAGGATACCTGTGGGCTTTGGCTCCCTTTGCTCTTTGTTCTTGCAGAGAACCTTTTCACATAATCAATCCTTAAAAGAAAGGGTGGGGTGAGGATCCCTTTTGAATGTGGATAGATCGTGTGTCACACATTTGTTCAGTAATTTCCTCTAGAACCCCTGCCACATGCCAGGTTCCATGCTCTGTTTTGTGTGGGTTGTGGAATCTCGTGGGGGCGGAAATTCACTGTTATGAGCTGATAGTACAAAATGAGGCTTCTTTACACTGTGATGAAGAATCATAAAATGTGCACATAAACCAATTACAACGTATTTCTTTTTCTCAGTTAAGAATGATCTTTGTACGAGGGTATCCACATGTGTGATGGCAGAGGCTGTTCCCAAGTGTTTCTCATGTAAGATGTTGGATGTTACGTGTCGTCCCAGCAGTGACATGCTTGGTGTGGCTCTTGCCTGGCTCATGTACCTGAGTGTTTTCTGAACAGAATCGATGGGAATAAGTTGTGTGCGAAGCCATGGATAAACGCAGAGGCCATTAAATGCTTACATAAACTGATGTTGAAGACTGATTACCATAAGAAAAACTATAGGATGAAACAAAATTTAAAGCTATAAAAGATAGAGTCATGGGATCAAGAGCCCAAATAGAAACATATCCTAGCATGCTGGGGATGAGTTTTCTTTCCCCTCAAGCACACCTGGTGCTCTGGCAGAAAATACCCAGGCATGCCAGAGAATTTAGCCTTAGCTGGCACCTTCCTCCATGGAAAAATTTTCATATTTCAAGACTGGTTTCCCTACGGGCAGAGGGGCATTTGGTAACACGCTTCTGGTCTTCATTTGTCTACGCTGGCCTCCCATTGTGAGGGATGAACTAAGGCACGGTTTAGCCTCATGGGCTTCCCAAACAATGAGTTCTTTTCAATTAGAACCGGGAACAACCTTTAGAGAGAAACATAAGATAGTAATATTCTTGTGAACAACTTTTGTAACAAGAGAAAACCATAACAAATGCCTCTCCAAACATTTTATGGTCTATTTACAAAACAAAAAAGAACTCTGATTTTGGGGGAAAGAGTCCAGGTACACATAAGCCAGGGTTTTACCTCTAGTCCATCATGGTACTTTTTCAGTCCAATGGTTTTCTTCCAAAGATGGTTAATGCTCCTGAAAACATGAGGGAAAATGGGAGCCCCAAATCATCTAACAGCAAGTCTACTCGAGAAATTCAGACAAAAATGATTTCACAGGGAAATTGCTCATAGCCTAGTAATAGTAACTCTAGAAGATTTGAGACAGGTTAAAGGTCAGCATCACTTTGAAGTTCCTTCTTACTACTGGTCCTTAGGGCAGAAATGGCATGTTCTCCTGGAACCATGGCAAAGGCATTGGATTTTATCCATGGCTTCCTCATGAAACCAAATCATGTTCCTGTAACTGGGTTTCTCC